CCGTCGATGCCATACTGTTGGTCACAAAGATGGCTACTGCAAACGCAACAACCGACCCAGATCTCGTAGTCGACCCAAACGGCGCAACAAGCCTAAGTCTTTGGGTGTTACTGCCACATATCATATTAGTACGCCAGCACCTCGCAAATATATCAATCTGACGATTAATACACGGCCGGCACGCCTACAAATCGACACAGCATCCGATATTACAATAATATCAAAGAAATTATGGCAGAAGTTGGGATGCCCTGCCATAGAGAAGACAAATCTGGTAGCATTTAGTGTATGTGGTGGAAGACTTCGATTGAATGGAGAAATTAAATGCAGCGTTAGTTTTCGCGATAGTCATTTCGTCGGCACATGCTAAATCAACAATTCAAACCTTGACCTCTTGGGTTTAGACTGGTTCGAGAAGCTGCACCTGTCAGAGATTCCGTTAAGCAGTGTATGCCAAAAGATCGAAAGTATTGAACCCTCAACAAGAAAGCCAGAAATCAGAGACAGATATATTAAACCTAAGCCCATTAGAAAGAATGACGTGATTAATGAAAAACCAACTTCGAATCGTCATAGTGAGTATGGCTGCGCCAAAAGTGCTTCGATGTCTGGTAGCAACAAAGTAGCAACTGTTAGCTCCAGTAAGAGAGGCTCTGCTCAAAAACTGAAAGTGATGTCTGTCATGGCAGCCAAAGATCAGCCACCGAGAGCATGGCCCACGTCAAAACCATGGTCCCGCCTACATGTGGATTTTGCTGGGCCGATAGAAGGTATATACTACTTGGTTCTCGTGGACTCTTACTCAAAGTGGACGGAGGTAGTGCAAGTGACACCACCTTCTAGCAGCAGAACAGTATCAGTCCTGGAAAAGATCTTCGCATGTCACGGTATACCAGAAATCGTCGTGTCTGACTATGGCAGTCAGTTCACCTCACAAGCGTTCCAGGAATTTTGCAAGAGAAACGGTATACAACACGTGCGGACGCCACCTTATCACCGTCAATCCAACGGTCAGGCAGAAAGATTTGTCGACACTTTCAAACGAGCGTTGTTGAAAGCAGGGGGAGGGGCGAAACCGGAAGCAATACAAAACTTTCTTTTTGTATACCGAACTACACCACTGGCAGAACAGAAGAAAAGCCCTGCAGAACTTCTAATGGGTCGAATGCTACGAACTCATCACCACTCCATGTTACCATCTTCGTCACATCAACGAAGAAATAGTCTGAAGTATTACCACAAGGGTGATGCCGTCTATGTGCGCGATTATCGACCGAGGAACAGAAAATGGGCCGAAGGCTTGATAGAACGTCGACATGGAACTCTAATGTACAAGGTTAAAGTTGGGGATGAATGGTGGATTAGACATAAAAATCAGATACGACGTCGATATACTACATCCCAAGAACCTAAATTGCCACTGGAATTACTACTGGAAACCTTCAAAATACCACCAGTCAAATCAGAAGCAAAACAAGAGATGCTACCCAGCCGACGATCCCAGCGCAAACGAACACAAACAGTTCCTTTCCAAATCGCCCCCAAGGAAAAAAGATACTAAACTGATTGCAAGATTCTTTTTAAAAGGGGGAGGTAATATATACGCAGGGGAATCATTAATATTCATTATTTATTTCATACACTAACATAATCATTGATTTCACGCATCTGCGTGATTATTGATTTAAATTACTGAATTCCCCAAGGTCGTTAATATTTTTAAAATGTGACATTGATTTTTCTAATTGTATAAATACGGAGTTGTTGTTTAACATTTTCGACTGTTGTTTGAGACAGTAAAAGCTCTCATATCAACGTCCAGTCTTCTCTTTAATTTGTCTTGCGTGCCCGGCGGTATTATTGTTGTTGTTGACGTGCGATTAAGACAGATTAGCCAGCGCATTAGTTAGATTCGCTCGTAGTCTACAAGGTCCTCATATTCACATACATAACAGTTCCTTTTTCTGACTTTCCAATTCATAGGTGGTGAATTGAATTGCCTCCATCTTTGAGTTAATGTGTTCGAAAAATCTATCTATATATCCTGTGTTCTGAGTACAGTGAATGTGTCATCTACAAACCTCCACCATAATTTTGGGGGTGAGGGTGAACGTTCCAATCGCTATGTGGGAAAACATAGCGATTGATATGATTATGAAGGGCAATAAATTTTGTTCGAAACGTCATCCAGTCAATAATACTGTTTCACTGTGTGATACATCTAATAAACAAACTAATATGGACACTGTGTTGCTTAAATTATTGTGCAATCAATAGACACCTAGAGATTATCAGCACAAAAACAACATATTATATTATTATTGTATCCTTTAATTCCTAGAGGAACATAGGGCTTCAGCCGTGCGTTTCCATTGCGTTCGGTTCTCTCCTAGAGTCCTTCACCTGGCTCCATGTCTGCCCACACGTTTTCATCTCCTCTTCACATGACCTCCTCCAAGTCACCCTCACTCTTGCACTGACGACCAACTCGTCGCTTCCCTTTCCGGTTCCACTCGAGCAATGGCTTGTCTAGTGATATCACTCACTTGATGGTTTCCTCAGAGTATGACCGGCCAATCCATCTTCATTTCTTCCTGCCTATTTGTTTCACATCCGTTTGCCTGTAGTTGAAACGATGCTTCCGAGGTAGGTGGTAGAGGAGACTGTTTCTTTCAGGTTCCTTCCATTTATGCTGATTGTTGTCTGTTGTTGTTGTTGCTGTTGGTGGTGTTGCCCAGGATAATGGGAGAAGGGAAACAGAATTATTATTTGGAAGCATTGTTATGCGAATCAGGCAAATATATATATATATATATATATATATATATATACTTATTAAGAGTATTTAAACCATGAACAACACAGCTAGCATTGAAGAATCTTTCTCCATCCTCTGTCCGGTACCAAATAAATTGCCAAAAGTATCCAGGTACCGAATATTCCAAAATAACAGAGGCTATTGCCATTTGATTCGCCTAAAACAACAACAACAGGTGCTTTTTGTGCAGATGAAACAAGTCCAGCAACTACTACTACTACTACTGCCCTGGCCTTCTTTGGGGACTATAAATTCATGAATTCTCTATTATTTTTACTTTTTCCTGATTTGTCTGATATTCAGTGTAGTGTTGTATTGTTGTATATTATCACACAGGTGCTACTGAACTGTAATCGATTGATTTTATTGATTCGATGTTATGTAAACATTCGTGTTGTTAATGACCCTAATTCCTCAATTATATATATAAATATATAATCCATCCTGCACCTGCATCCATGTTAGTCCATACTGTTTCAACTCCTCTTCACACGATCTCTTCCATGTCATCTTTGCACTGACGTCCCACTCGCCGCTTCCCTTTCGGATTCCACTCGAGCACTGGCCTGACGCGCAATGTCACCCAGCGGCCTCTTCAGCGAGTGTGTCCAATCCATCTCCATTTTCTCCTGCATATTTGTTGAGCGATTGGTTCTTGTTTTGTTTGTTCCCATAATTTCTTGTTGGTTCTTGTTCTCTCCGGCCATCTGATCTTCAGTAGTATAGAGCGAAGATAGTTGTTGATAAAGGTCTGCAACAGGCTGTTGGAAATATTCTTTGTGACCCACCAAGTAAGTTTCTGATCCCCGTATAGAAGAAGAACTGACTTGACGTTAGTATATTGGAAATCCGAATTTTGTTGTTGATGCTGAGTGACAGCGGAAGATTTCCAGATTGGTTTCAGGTTGATGAATGTGTTTCTCGCCTTCCCGATTCTCGATTTGACATCCTCGTCCGTTCCTCTTCCTGTAGTTGAGACAATGCTCCCTAGATAAATGAATGAAGTAACCTCTTTCAAATCCTTCCCGTTGATGGTGATTGGCGGTGGATGTTGCTGCTGTTGTTGTTGTTGGTTGGTTGGTTATTTTCATAACCTCCGTCTTGTTTATGTTCACCTGGAGTCCTGTCTTCTCTGGCTGCTTCTTCGACCAGTTTGTCGGTCGGTTTTCGCTTGTAAGTCTTCGATTTTGTGTGACATCAAACATAAATCATCCACGCGCGAAATCCAGGTCTTCTAGGTTCTTCACGTCGGTCCAGGATATTCCTGTCTTCTCGTTTCTCTGATGATTGTAACCTTCCTTCCTTCCTTCCTTTTGAGTAGAACCTAGCTGTCATTATCCTGGAGGAGATTAGTTCCCACTGCATGAGAGCTTTGGCTGCTGTTGGTGACATCATGATGGCCACTCCCTCGGTGTGCTCGTGATTGTCCTCTGGGTGACCGGAATATAGTACTATCTCTCCAGTTGATAGTTGACACCTTCCACATCCGTTCCATCTGCTCTCGCAGATTCCCAACACTTCTATTCCATGTCTTCTCATTTCTGCGGCTACCTGGACATCCTTTCCAGTTTCGTACATTGTACGAATATTCCACGTCCCCCCATCCTTATTTTTGCTTTCATCGAAAGCAGGCACATTGGCTGACTGGCTTCCCAAAGGCTTCACCAGCCTGCGTTATTTCACTTCCCCGATTCCAGCGAAAAATAAGGTTATTGTTGATATTTTTAGTATTTTTAATATATTTATGCGTTGAAGTTTCTGTAGCAATTTGGTTAAGTTTTGGGGGTGGCGTTGCTCTAGCACCACGTCCCAACCCTCCCTCTTTATTCGGGCTTGGGACCGGCTAGAGAACTAGCGAGCTAGTAATCTACGCGAGGTTATACATATATATATCAAGTTCCTAGAGCAACGGCCAATATAACTCGCTCCACCATCAGCGCAGTTGAATTGGTAGAAACAGTTAAAGGGGGTTAGTCTAGGTACTTCATCTTTCAGTCGAGGAATCACCATCGGTCGTGTAGAGAATAAGACGTGAAGTTCACCAGCAATTAAAAGTTCTTTGAACTGATTTTCTTAATTTCTTCGTAATTATTTCACTTGGTATATATATTATATCGCCCTTGAATTGCAGTCGTCTCTATCTACCTATTGAACACTGTTTTGTTTTGTTTTTACCTTACAGTTCCTCAGTTGCACAAGCCAAAGAAATTCCTGCTAGTCACCGTTGGCATTAAAAAATGTAGAAAAAAAGCGAAAGAAAGAAGGAAAGCGTAAAGAAAAGAAAAAACAACAACTGTCAATTGAATTAGGATCTAATTCTTCAAAAAAAACAAAACAATATATCAACAATATGTGCGCATGTGTATAGGAGTCACTATTAACCCTAACCACCACTGGTGTGTGTTGGATCAATCAGTGTTCAGAACGGTGTAAAATTGTCTTCCAAATGTTTTCTGTTTCTTTTTCTCGTTTTTGTTCATCATTCGTCATCGACATGATCGCCATTATCATCATCATCACCATAATCATCGTCATTACCAAGTGAGCTGAAATCCACTAGTGTTTGTATGTGTTTATCAACAGTCCAAATGAAGAATCTCCTGAAATTTTAAGCATAAATCAGTCTCGCAGTTGTCTACTCATCATTCATACACAAACATACACCAACAATTACTAGCTACCTATACCAAACAATGTTCACTATGGGTGACTACTACATGACTGACTACCAGTACCAGAATAATAATTAGTACTCCTACAAACACTATCATCTTTTTTGCGTCACAACGGCTGTAGGCATCACTCTACGTGTTATTTCTAATATGTTTTCACTTTTTATTTCCTTTTTTTTCATTTTTTCTTAAAATGACTCTGTTAATGTTTTTTATTTATTTATTTTATTTATTTATTTGCTTGTCTATTTATTTTACTTTAACTTTTTGACTATATTTTATTGTATTCGTTGGTTTGTTTACATCGTGCTTCACATGTGTGTGCGTCCATGTTTTATGTTGGTTTGTTTGTTTGGAGTCGGCGGTGTCTTCTTGGTGATGTCTGTCTTTAAGCGCTGAATCCAACCAACTAAAAAAGAACACATACAGTGCAGTGATCATTGTTCTACCGAGTAAATATGGGGGGTTTTTCTGCTTTTTTCTGTGTGTGTAGCACCTCCTCCTCAGCCCCTTCACACACTCCCTACTATCATTATTATTATGATTATTGTATTATAAGTCTCTTTGGTAAATTCTGTAGTCACTGAATAACTTATTGACTGACTGCGTGTGTTTGTGTGTCATCTCATTTTATATATACACTACTCACCTCATCCTTCTAAAAGAAAACTGTCACTCTGCATACATCCACCCATAAATACACGCATGGATACGCACGTTTTCACTCGCCCTGGTCCTTTTTAGGCTTTAGTATTCAATTTGTATTTTTTCGAACAGTGCCTGAGGGCTTTCTTGTATAACATTCTAAGTGCGTACGTGTCTGTGTCTATCTAGGTCACTTAGTCGAATAATGAATGTTTTTTCAACAACTAATAATATATCGTATTCAGGATGCCTTTGTTTCTTTCTTAGGATGATAATTTTCAATTCAAATCTCTCGTATAATATTTGATTTATTCTCTCACTTTCTCTTCCTCTCTCTACAAAACTCACTTACTCACTTACTTACTTTTTGTATCAACACTATTTAGGAAAGTGTTCTTTATCCTACCTTTACTCTTGATAAAAGTATGCATTATATAACATTAATTATTATTATTATTATTGATACCTGTGTACGTCAATGCGTGAGTGTGTGTGTGTGCGTGCCTCAAAGGGATTTCTCTGAAGCTCAGGTGTGATTAATACACATTTCGTTTGACTGGGAAATATTCAAATACTTATATATATATATATATATATATATATATATCATATCTTGTTTACTTTTGTGTATTTCGTCTCTATCTACCTATTGAACACCACCACCACGAGAACCACCACATGCTGTACCAAACTATAATCCTGGTAATTTTTTTGTCATTTATTTCATTGAATTGTTGAGTCGATTAAAACAAAATACAAAGAATAGCCACCATTAAAACCATTGGTATTTTATCTCTGTGTGTTGTTTTCGCTTCATCATCATCAGTTCATGTAACTTATATTTTATATATATACCGCCTTCTATTGATTGATTGATTAATATATATATTATTGATTATCAATAATCATAATGGTAGTGTATCATTGACAGCGGAGTAATATGAAACAGTTCTATGAAGAAAAAAACAACCAATTCTTATTTTGATTCTTCGCCCCTTTTTCACCCCCACCCCCTCCAAAATATGTTTAACACCCTCACGCCCCCACACTTAAACCTCCGTCCATTACTTCTAAGTATATTTGTAATTTCTTAAAAATGTTTTCAGCACTTCTCTGATGGAATTATAGGCGCCCTTCACGCACTTACACACACATACACACTTTCCCTCTCTCTCTCTCTCTCTCCTCTGTGTGAATCTGCTTTCCGGCACCCCGCCGCCCCCGCTCCCCGACAACATGATTTATGCAATTAATTAATATGTGTAATAGGATGGATGGATGGATGGTGCAATACCATGAATCATGCATAAACATTTCTTGGATAGTACTTTCCTTGAAGAGGATGTTGAAGTTCAAGTGGACTGTGTTTGTGTGTGTGTGTGGAGAGAGTGATGGAATTAGGTCTTTCGAATTTATCCTACTACTACCTTTCTGTGTGATCAATTCTGTTTGTGTGTTTTTTGTATTAACCTATATTATACTACTACTACTACTACTACTACTACTACTACTACTACTACTACTACTACTACTACTACTACTACAACGAAGAAACTTACTGTGTGTGTTGTTTCTTTCAACATTTTTTTGCTGTTTTTTTTTTACAATTTCATCTATCGTTGTGCAGGTTTTGCATTTTCCTCTTTTATTTTTTTGTGTTTGTTGATTTTTAACCAAAAAAACAACATTTGTTTTGTTTTGTTTCCACGTTCTCGTTCATATCGTGTGTGTTTATGTTTCTCTTGTTTCTGGTATGGTGTGATATGTTATCGTGTGGTACTTCGTTTACGCGCGCAATTTGGATTTGTACGTGTTTGTTTGTTTGTTGGCGTTGTTGTTTTTTGAAAAGAAATACTTGATTACGTAAACATCTTTGATCTTGTTTACGTACTACTTATCACATTCTCTGGCTGGCAGGCAGGCAAGCAGGCTATATGTGTTTAGAAAGGGAGAGAAAGCGACAGAGGGTTTGATTTCATGACGTTCCCTGTTGTCTGCCAGTCTGTGAACTAACTGGTGATAATAATCACCTTTTTTCACTGCTCTATTACTGTTAAAACAGCATATTTCTCTTTTGTTTCTCCGTTTATGTGTGAATTCACATTCATCACATGTGCACGCGCGCATCTGTGTTTCTCCCATGGATGATGTAATATGCGGCGTACCTTTGTTGCTGTTGTTGTTATCATTTGTAATTTTAAATGATTGTTAAGTGTATAACAGTTGGACGCATCACGTCCGCCCCTCGCCCCTCCGACCGGCTCTTTGACTCTGTGTGGGTTTGAGCGTGTGATGGAACAGCAATCCCCCTCCCTCTTTTACACTTATCACGCAACACAACAATTTCTCTATGTGTACAGTCAGTCAGCCCCACTGAGTCAGTGAGTGAGTGAGTCAGTCAACTTCACTTCACTTCCCTTCACTAACTAATTACTACTCTACCGCACTACCTACCTACCTATCTAATATATATTAGCAAAAAATAATTGTGTATTGCCAATAGTTCTTCTTCTTTCGCATTCACCAAATAAAAATTTACATATAATTAACAATTTATTTGTAGGTTGTATTTGTTCCTTTTTGCAATGTTCTATGTATCCTACTCGTGTTATAATTGTGACACAGTTGTGTGTGTGAATGGCGCGTTGAATAAATTGGCGCGCGTTGGTGGATGGATGACACAACGTGTTTTAAGCATATTTGATGTTTAATTTTTTACACTTTTCTTTATCTTTCCCTTCAATGTGTTACTGTTACTAATACTACTACTGTTATTGGTATTAATGAGTAGTATTATTGTTGACTTTGTTTGTTTCTTTATTTGTTTGGCGTTTTTTTGGTTTTGTTTTTCGTTTGTTTTTTAATTTCTCTGAATTCCTTGTACAGTTTCTGACTATAATATTGTTATTAATAATAATAAATAATAATAATAACAACAATACTAGTGATTATGAGTTTGACCACGGATTGATGATATCAGTTATACTTGACAGCTGTTTCATCCTAATTTGGGACTCAGTAACAGTACGCACCACCCACTACAGAGGGTTCAAACCCAGGACCATTCCGGTTACAAGACAAGCTGGCTCGTATACCATTCAGTCACTGGGACCAGTGCGGCGACCATCAACCAATGTCATCGGCGGGAACTCCATCCTCATTCACGACTGGATAGACCTCACTGGTGACTAGTTCTCATTAGAAAACTCCAGGAAACTTTGTCCTATAGCAAGAGACTAATGAGCATCAGATTAATTTTCAAGAGTTGGTTTGTAAGGATGCTCCATCTAGTATCTGACAATGTCCTTCCTCCATTTCCCTTGAGAAATTCTTCACGGTAGGTAGAAGCTTATTTGGAATTGTGGGTGAAGAGAGATTGTGTCTTACCGTGGTAATTTGATGCTTAAAACACTTCTGATTGGACACTAGTCAGTAACTAGTATAATGTGTTTCATCCTTGGTGTCGGTGCAGACTGAATTCTATCAGTCAAGTTTGCAATGTGGCTACCAGGCTAGGTGGCTCGCCATCATGGTGCCTTGTGAATTGTTGGTATTGGTTGGGATAGATAAGACTAAACACATTACATTAGTAGTTACCAACCCGGCGTCCAATCAAAAGTATCCAGCACAGTCCGACAGGAGATCAATCGCCAGCCCGAATAGCTCTGTAATAACGTCTCTGACTGCAGCACTCACTGGGTGATGTAGGTTCGAATCTCAGATGGCGGAAATTATTGAGTTCTTTCAAGGTTGTTGCAGATACGCCTCGCTGACTGGCTGAATGGGGATTTCTGACTAGCACGAAACCTAGGTCAGGCAAGGCTACCTGCCGATTGCTTCCAACCAACTTAAATCATCAAATTAATGTGCATCGCAATGCCGAGCTACCTAGAATGGTGGCCACATTGCAAACCTGACTGATACAATTCAGTCTGCACCAAAGAGAGGACTAGACATATCATACCAGTTACTAGTGTCAAATCAAAAGATACGGAGTAAATACTATGCTTTTTGTTGGAGAGATAATTGAGGTAGCCCAGGGGTTTAAGCAACCAGCCAGCAGAAATGAAGCTATATATAGATTCAGATGGTTGAACACACGTGTTGCACATGTCCACCAAGCCATCGCCTTCCTCGTCGAGATGTTTTACCTGACATAAGATTAGGTTAGAGAAGAGTTAGGCGTGGTCAAACCAAAACCTCGCATCAATCCATAAAGACTCTGTCAGTTGGTTTGAGTTAGCCACATAGGAAGGTGTAGATTGCCTATTTGAGGTCTTTGGTTTGCTAAAAATCATTGGCTAGAGAAAATTGGTGATACGGGATCGAAATCGCCCTTAGTGAAGCAGCCACGTTCTGTGTGTAATCTCTGTCAGATCCATCAAGTACTTATAGATCTCCAGGTTTCTGTCCATGTATGTATAGCTGGAGCTTCAGTTGTGCATAAGTGGAGGAAATGTAAGTTTTTGAAGTAGTTGGATTTGGTGCTGTAAATAACTTTGAAGGACAGATCACGTGAAGCTGAATGGCCTGACTGCAGAATGTGTTTGTCAAATTGAAGATTTCGGCGTCCCTTGTTCACCTTTCATTAACCAAACTGGGTAGTGTTAAGCTACGCGTTTACGGAGAACACGCTTACAACGTCCACTGTAATCAGCTCCACACAAGTATGTGAATGAGTATATGGACATAGAGGTGCCCATAAGCGGTAGTTTTTCCTTAACGAATTGTCGAATCATATTTAGGATGGTAAATATTAAATTTAAGTCAGCTGCATAAAAAGTGCCTTTTAATACATTTGGATAAACGACTTTTAATGACTTCGGCAATAGTGTCACCTTTGAACAACAAACTCATAAACAGTGTCTTCTTTGGCACTGTGATTTGGTTCGGGATGGTTTCTTTCGTG